TTTCATGTTTGACAGACTTTTTTATGTTTTTTTTAAAAATACCAAATATTAAAAACAAGTTTCATCATTTAATCAGAATTCAGTTTAAAAAGAAAGAATTCAACATAGCAAAGGAGAGACTTTTATATATATATATTTTTAAAATAGTGAATCTCAAAACAAGTTGGATCATTTCATCAGAACTCTGTTTTTAAAAGAAAGAATTCCACATGGCAATGTGATATCTGGTGAAAAATCACTTTAAATAGTGAGAAGTATGAAAAGTTGTCATAAAAAGAAGTGATTTGACATAAATTTAACATTACCATTTGAAGTTAGTTAAGTCAATAACTTGGATGCTATGACAAAGGTAATAGGTATTTGGAGGATGGAAAACAAGGTTTAAGACCTCAACACTTGACTCTGAATTTTCAAATGCACTCTGATTCTCTTTTATTCACTAATGATTTCAGTAAATTATAGGCTTTGACTTTTCTGACCAAATGTAAATGACTTCTCTATAAGGAGGACAGACTGAATTATGTTCTAAGTTTAGAGAAAAGATAAGTGACCCAGATCTTCAGCCATTGAGCTGAGGGCTCTCATCAACCCCTGGTTTCACCTCAGCTCGCCCTCAGATCACTGAACAGGCCTGTGGTGCCAAGACACCTGAGCATGATTCAGAACCTGGCAGTGGTGCAGGGCAGGGTCAGGAAGAGTGGAAGGAACAGGCTGGAGGAATAGCTCTCTTCCATTCTATCCAGAGTTGGACAATACCATTGCTTCAAATCTATTTTTAGAAGTCAGATTTGTCATCCTTTAGTAAGGGAAGTGTAATTCTGGTATTAAAATTGTTTACAGTCATTGTGCTATTTTTTCTTTCAAATGTAATAAAGTACGTCAGAAAAAACAAAAACATGTCTTGACACATCACAATTAAGGTATTGCCTTGCATGGTAGCTCGTACCTCTAATCCCAGCACTCCAGAGGCAGTGGCAGGAGAATTGCCATGAGATTAAATCCTGCCTGGACTAATTAGAGATTTTAAAAAAAAATAGCTTGGGCTTCTAAGATACTGTCTAAAGAATTCCAAATGTCAAAACAACAAACAAAAATAGAAAACATTAAAAATTAATTGAAACAAAGTGATCCGTGAATGCTGTCACCAGCACATCCTTTCTGGGGGACCTTACTTTGCTTTGATACGGTGCACATTGCAAATCCTATCAGGTGATTCTCTGAAAATAGCTAAGCAACAAATAGTAACAAAATCCACTCAGGCAGGCTGGGCCTTAGTATAACAGAGAGGTGGTGAAGGAACCCTTCTTTTAGTAGTGTTCATTATTGAATGATGTTTAAAGATCAGAGTTGGGTCAAATCATAAATTCTTATAATATGGCCATGTATTTGTCATTTATACTATATATATATATATAATTTTCTATTGAAACTTTAAAGCTGCTTGAGTAACCATGTGCGATGGAAAGGAAATATGCTTTCTTAGAAATATGCACGTTATTTTCAGAGGCCCATATTGTCAGAATCGACAAGTGGGTTGAAACATCACCTTGGCACCAGGAGAGAATTCTGTTCTCACCAATCTCTGATGTAAAAACTCTGATGCAGATGGAAGAGCATAATAAACATGGCTGCCCCTGCCTTTGACTATATTTATTATTAAACGTTTTCAGAATAGTAATAGTAACTGGTGTACCAAACAGTAAATGATATGTATGTCTTAAACTATTTTTTAATTCTCTTGCATTATAACTTCACAACTTCAGTCTTGCTTCGTATCTACATAACTTACAAAGAGCTAGTCCAATGAGCAGGGTCTCTAAAATTGTTTTCATCTCTGAAAACTATTCTAGGCAGGCAAAGTGAAGAAGCAGCCCGTGTTTTCCACTTGACTTACGTCACATTCAGATAAGAAATACATCTCTTCGCTCTGAATTTTTAGTTAAAATGAATCACCATTTTAACTGAGATGTTTCCCTTGTGATTTAAATAACAAAATGAAAAGAATGGGAGGTTAAAAAACTTTTAAATTCAGAAATCTTGATTACGGTTTTACTTTTTAAATGTGAAGGAACGCAAAGTAAAAACTTAACATTTCATCCAGCTTTACCTGGATGGTGGCTAGTGGAAAGCAGGGAAAATAGTTGCATAAAACTGAAGTCATTACACATGTAGGACAGTGCATAATTTACATATAATTCTGCATATAAACTATATACATGTGTATACAATGTATATACACATATGATAGTGCTATGTGCATGTTTGTACACACAGCAGCCCAATTTATCTGTGTTATTGCTCTGATTACTTTTAAAGGCCTGTAATACATTAGAAAGAACATGTGTGCAATGAATTTAGTTAAAGATATGGTCTGTTCACCTGAAATTTCACAGATGAGTAAGTTACAAATGTATATATTCAATCACTTGAGTTTGTAAGTCCTTACATTATCATTTCCCTGCAAAGTGTCCTTGATTGTCATGGTCATGCATGCCACATTTTGTGGGGGATTTCATGGGCTTTTGCTTCAAGGTCATTTCAAATAATCACAGAATTTATTCATATGGACAGTGTAATTGCCAAAGGATAGATGGGAGTAAATACTGGATTTACACTGAACGAGTCTAACACTGTGCTAAGCTTGCTGAAGGAGCTTCTTACCAAAGCAGCATTATGATTAAATGCAAACAAGCTCTCATGAGATGATAAGGCTTTAAAACTAAAATTTCCAAGTTAAAAAAAAAAGTTTCCAAATCAGCCATTAAACTTTCTTCATTATTTTCTCTCTGAACTTTTATTTAAAATATTGTATTCATCATCCTGTTTTAAATAATTTTGCAATTTGATGAAATAATATCTTTCTAGTCAAAAATATAAAAGCATCTACATAAATAATATCATTAATGATATACAATGTTTGAAAACTATTCTGAATTAAACTGATCATCTGCCATCATTTCACACTAATCAACTAATGAGTTGAAGGGACATCACAAAGCGTTTGCTATTCCCAAACACTATTATTGTAATTACCAATAAAATAGTAATGAATAAAAGCGAAACTGTCAGATCCTTGGTCATTCTCAGTAGCAGAATATTGCTTTGAGGGAATTAGTTATTTAGTTAAAAAAATAATTTACTTCAATAAGACATAAAACAGTTGCTAATCCATCCTTATATCAATATTTAGGTAATTTAATGGAAATAATGTCTATTGTTACAAACTAAAGTTTGTTAACTTAGTTTTAATGCAAAATTAAAATAAGTATCTGAGTCAGAGGGTAGAAAACTCCATGAAAGCAAAATATTGTCCTCCTAAATACAAAATTTCATTCTTATATAAATTTGTTCTCACTATATAAGTGAATTTATTCTTCATTCGTGGGTGAAATTTAAGATAAGACAGTCTTATTTTAATATTTGATAAATAAAATATAAATATTACATTTAGCAAGTTATGTTTTAATTCAAGGTTTGCGGAGACCTTTTTTCCAAATGTCAAAAGCACCAGGGTCCTTAGGGATAACATTCAGCCTGATATGTTTAATATACTGTGCTGTGAGAATGAATGGTTTTCTAGGAAGATGTTATTAGTATTCGTAGGATCTAGGTTTTTTGCCCCTACTTCTTCTGTTCACCAAAATGATTGATTAGGAAGAACCGGAAGGTTACTAGTAACCATAGCTTACTACAGTGTTACCAGTCACTGGAGATTTTTTTCCCCTAAATCAGGTTGCAAGGCCGGTGAGCACTGTATTGTTATTTTATCCTCCCCCAAAAAACGAAGAACAACAAACAACAGTAAATAGGGAAAGATGATGATCAGAAAGAATATGGAAGATGAAATATCCAGCAAAGGTGACTTGTAGGACAGTTAGCAAAAACGTCATCTCTTTTTATAAGGGGTCCAACTCTCCTGAGTAAGGAGAGCTTCATTCTGGTATTTTACATAAAGAGACTGTAATTAGTTTTATGGACTTTCTGAAATAACTCCAAAATAGACTGAATAGTTGAGGACAGAAGTTACAGATGCCACATATCAAATGTAAAGAAGCCCTGAAAGTGCATTTTTTTTATATCTCAGTACTTGCGTATTTTATCTGTATGCACATCTACACTGATCATTGTATATAGTTTTAATGGTTATATAAACATGTTCTAGACATTCACCTTTTCCCCATCATTTAATACAATGCCTTTATGTATACACCATACAGCTTTAGAAACTTGTGGTTTTATCCTTTGTGTGTGTCGGGGGGAAATGATGTAATGTAAGGCCTCAGCGACTCGTGGTGAATTACATTCAGCATGTAATGATCATTTCTAAGGGCAGCTTGAAGGAACTCTAGCTTCACTTTACAGTTCAGTAGTGGCTGCGTCTGGAGATCGCTGGAGTTCTGCTGCCCTCTACTGGCCGTTCTCGGTAAGTGCCTCTATCGCTACTGTCTTGCATCCTAAATTTCTATTTTCTTTGGTTTTGCTCACGTGTACATGGATCATAACTCAAAGTATCTTCAAATTAACTTTGAAACATTTTTTTTTAAATTCCATACAGAAAAAGAAAACTTAATCCGTATCAGGCGTCTTTGTCCAAGCATTTCTGGGTCCATTTGCTGTGAGTGAGTGGGAAAACAACGTCCAAACATAAAAATGACAAATTTCACAGATGAGCAGATATTCTACAGTCCCATTTATCCGCAGCTTTTCTGGGACTGTGCATGTGCATGGAGAGTGTGATGCTACCTAAGCTGCTGATGGATCTAATTTTAGTGTTCCTTTTTTATTTAAAGGAGAGCTATTTCGTTTCTCTGTTCCTTCAAGTAATCTCCTGTTTTGAAACACACAGATGCTCAGTGATCTTACCCAGAACAACCCTACACTTCCTCACTCCAGTCACTTTATTTTCTCCTGGTCATACTCCACCTATGGAACAGTGCCTCGCTGGGAAACTGAATTGGAAATGTATAACCCATGGGGAAAAAAAAAAACTGAACTATAGATCAGCATATCCAAGCCCCAATTTAATCCTGATATGGGATATGAATACTGTGTAGTAAGATTTATCAATATCACAGTGCAGCAGACTTGTTAATCAATTTGCTTTCTGCATATCAAGTAAAATAAATATTTTTAAATGGAAGTACGAAAGGCGTGGTACAGCTGGTTTAAATTCAAGCTTTGTATCTTCTATATATAATGTATTATGTTTTTCAAAAACTTTTTATTAGGAAAGCTATACCAGACGCATAATCACTATACAATGATTAAACATTACCTTTACAATTTATAATCACTGAAATTACAGAATAAATATATGCACATTTCTTTTGAATCTTTGTGTGTGAGAGAGAAAACATTAAAAGTGCTTCCTACAAAGCTGTTAGTGATATATACCCAGTTGCTTCTTTATTTTTTAATATCATATATTTATATATATATAAGAAAGTGCAGATGTTCTCAAAAAATCTTGGCATCAGGATGAAATGTCACAAGGAGGGTGCTCATCCCTAGGTGTGTCTCCAGCTTTTAAACCAACAAGCCTTCACTGCAGTAGGATCCAGCCTCAAATGTGACTTCTCCCAGGGGGGTAGGAGAGATGCTGTGAGCTGTACACTAGGCGTGAAGGGCACATGGAGCTATGGAGAGGAAAAAATGGATCAAACCCGAACTAAGCAGATTAAATTGTGTGGGAGGTGTGTGTGTGTGTGTGTGTGTGTGTGTGTGTGTGTGTGTGTGTGTGGTGTGTACTGCACCCAGTTCAGACTGAGGGACCTAAGCGTATGTAGAGGTTTGCTGTATGCTCATGAATATGTGTGTGAGAGACAACAGTGTGAGAACATTCGAGCAAGACCCGCCCCTCCCTCCCCATCCTGCAGTTTTCAAGCATGCAGCAAACTGCATTGTTAATACATGTACAGAATCTGTGCCATGATGGGAAAAGGAGAGAAAGCCATAAATGTCAACCTCCCCACTCCCTTTCAAACAAAACTGCAACTAAAGGGAATAAAAGTTACTGAAAATAAAAAGACACATTGAATTTTACTCAGTTAGGATCAATACAACGATCCCCGATATACCTCACACATGGCACAGTCAAAGTCTCGAGTTTCAGTATAAAAAATAATGATAACATTTGCTGGCAAAAGTCTGCGAAGGCACTTCATTGATTAATGATCTGAGTACGGCCCTTCCTCAGAGTCATATCTGAGAGGGGAGAGCCCACTTCTGTATTCTCTAGTTATCATGCGTTTCAGTTCTGTCCTGGGCAAGGGGGGAACTGTGAGGATGGAGTTATTGGGACAAGTATAATGGGAGCCGGGGATATATTTCTTTTTATTTTCCTTTTCTTTTGAAAATCAAAACAAAGCCACTAATTTATTCTCTTCTTTCTGTTAGAACCTGTATGCTGTCTTCTCCAGAACTTCGAGGTAATCCGGCTTAGTTTGAAGTTTGGCCCTTAAGTCGAGGTAATCACTTTTGGGGGTTTGGTGGTCTGTGAAGCCCTTTCCAGATGAGAAGAGAAGGGTTTCTTTGAGCCTGGCGTCCTGCTGTAAGTCTGGATATTGCATGCCAGGGGGGTGGACATGTAGTTCCTTTAATTTGGGCACTGTGCCATAGAGACAGTCCACAAATCCCACTGTGCATGGAGCAGGCTGTGGCCTCTCACGGTCTAGCAGCATACTGCCACCACCACAACCTCCCCCAGGGGGAAACAGCACCACCCCACCATTCTTCTCGTGGTGGCGGAACCCAGCCAAGTCTCCCCCAGTCCCTCCACCTACCCCTGAAACCCCACCAACTGAGGAGTGGTGAGGGTGAGGGTGGTGGTGGTTCACCGTCACTATGGTGTTAAGTTGGGAGTTGGAAACCGCCAGGGCCCACTCCTTCTCTTTTTCCAGCAAGGTCCGGTAGTTGCTGTGGTTCTCCTTGGGTGCTTCCGCAAACTGCTCACTTCCTAAGAGCACCTCACCCATTCCTGGTGGCTGTGTCCCAGGACATCCACGTTCTGCAGCTCCTGGTTCCTGGGCTGCTGCGGCGGCCACTTCTTCCTCCTCTCGAGGCTTGTAGATGGGGTTGTTGCACATCTGGGTAACTGGGTGCGGGATGTACTCATACACGTGACCCACGGGAGGGGCTTTCTCTGGAGAGGACAGAGTTGGTCGACCTCCACCTCCACTCCCACCCCCACTGCCCCCACTATCTTCAAACAGACGGTGACATTGCATCTGGATTCCTGTAAGGTCCACACCTTCCTGCCGCTTGCTTCTAAAGGGCAGCTTCTTCCTCCGCCGACGGAGCACATAGGCAAAGAGGCCTGCTGCAACAAAGACTGCTGAGAAGAACAGAACCAGCAGGCTGAGAATCAACACGGAAAGTGGCACAGGGCCCCCGGGAGGAGAGAACTCATATGGTGATGCACTTGTTGGTCCTCCATTGGGGTCCTCATCTCCCGGCTGCGGTGGGGATGGTCCAGGTGGTGCAACATGCAGCATCTCTGGGCATAAAACTTCCAGCTCAATAGTGCGTACATCACGGTGGGTGAGATTCTCGGGGGTCCTACAGAGTACATCACCTACCACGCTGACTGAGCTGATGGTTTCGATCCACTGTTTAAAGGGGACCAGGTCACAAGTGCAGTCCCAAGGGTTCTCATTGAGATCTATCTGCACGATGGCATTCAAATGTTCAAGGACGCCAGCGACTGGCAGGTAGAGGAAGTAGTTCTTCCTCAAGTTGAGCCGAGCCAGGGACGTACCTGCAAAGGCATCAGTTGGCAGGGTCCTCAGCAAATTATTGTTGAGAAATAACAGCTTCAAGTTGGGCATGAGGCTGAAGGCTGCAGGTTGGATTTCCCGGATGACGTTGAATTCGAAGTACAAGTAATGCAAGCTCTGTAAACCTCGGAACATACCTGGTGTCAGCTTTTCTATATCATTGCCATTGAGAAAGAGACTCTTCAGGTTGGGCAGGTTGATGAAAGCTCCATCCTGGACATAAGAAATGCGATTGTTCCCCAGGTGCAAGAGATCCAGAGAAGAAAAATTCCAAAAATCAGAGCGGTATATCTTCTGAATCAGATTGCTGCTCAGGTAGAGCTTCTTAGCATTCAAGGGTCTTGGAAGGAGTTCAGAGATGTTGTTAAATCCTCGTTCTTTGCAGTTGACAGTCAAGCCAAGGTCATTGATATGCAAATTACATGTACACCCAGTAGGACATATAATGGGAATAGGTGGTCTGGTTTGATAGGGGGCAATGGGAGGTTGATTTGGACCAGGGTACAGAGCCTGGGATGTAGATGGTGGTCTGGGTGTTCGGGGCTGTTTGGTGGGCTTTGGCTGCTTATTGGAGGACTTATATTCAACAGAAGAAGCTGTAAAATGGACAGAGGACAACATTGAGGAAGGTTTAGTTGGCCAGGCATTCTCCTTGCTTGATGGTAAGTGGGGAATCCCCAAACTGGCCTCCACCTCAGAATCAGATAACAATGGACAGAGTTCTGTTTTCTTGATTTCACGGAGATCCTTCCCATGGAAATGGAAAGGTGTCTCACAGGTGATGTCCCCCACCAGGGCTGTGTAAGGAATTCGCTCCAGCCAACTCTTCAGCTGCACAATCTCACAGGTGCAGTTCCAAGGGTTCTCTTCCAGCTGGAGCTCCATCAGGCTTCTGCCAATGTGATCTAGCATTCCACGGTAGAAGAGAACCTTTAACCTGTTTCCACGGAGGTCCAAATGAGTTAAAGAAACAGCCTTAAATAAATTGGTTGGAAGTACAGGAATGAGATTATCATTTAAGATTAGAACCCTCAATTTACTTAGGTTCCGAAATGCCCCACTCTCTATACGTTTAATGACATTGTAATCTGCCTGCAGGTATTCCAGACTTTCTAAGCCAAGGAAGGTGTCATTTCTGAAGACATCTAGTTTGTTCTCATGGAGATATAGTCTCTTTAAGATCTTAAGACCATTGAAAGCGCCAGTTTGAATGTCCTGTAATGCATTGTTCCCAAGGTTAATGGACACAGCATTATTTAAATGAAGAAAATTATTGGTGTACAATTTTCTCATTGAATTCCTCTGAAGATACAGTTTAAAAGGTCTTGACCAGAACTCAGTAATCTGACTAATGTTTGTAAATCCTTTGCTGTCACAATGTATGTGGAAAAGGCTTTCTTTAACTTCGCAGTAGCATGGATCAAAACAAGGCTCATCTATTTCCTCTGAGTCCTCAATCAGGGGGATTGGGGTAGTCCATCCTAGAGCGATTGTGCTTAGAAGAATTATCCACAGCATCCTCCCTCTGTGAAGCATCTCAGCTATGGACGGCTTCATCATTCCTGGTTGATTGTAAAACTGCAACAGAAATAAAGATGCAGATTTTTAGCTTTTGTACTACTCTAGTGGACTCCTACAACTGGGTTATTTCTTAAAAACAAGGGTGGTTTGAAAACCTCAGCAGGTATTGAACTGATATTCCAAATGAGGCAACAACATGTTTAATGTTTAAGGTGTTCCCTGTATTTTCAATTTAAGAGACTGACATATTGCAACACACAGTGACATTTTCCTGAACGAAGCCCTGTTCAGTAAGTGTTATGTGACATGAACAAAAGTAGCTTGCACTGACTTCCTCTTATAAAAACAACAGAATTGGAACCCTGACTCGGCCTTGGCATAGGCAGATTCAGCCGTAAAGGCAATGGCTTAGTCATTATACTTGCTTTCCTATTTAAACTAAGATTTGCCATTTAAAATCTTATTGGAAGTCATAGGAAAAAGGGGTGTTCTTCAAATTGTACACATTTATTATTAAAAAAAAACAAATGTGGCATAACCAAAAGATATTAGAGTGTGAAAACAGGTGAGCCCACTGCCCAATATCAGATCTTGAGATGTGAAAGACTGTCATAAAAAAAAAATAAGATTTATTTTAAGGAACTATGAAAAGTTACTTAATTACCATGTGTGCCCAACTGTATACTCAACCCCAATCCCTTCTGCCCAAGCACAGGAAATATAAGTATCCTTTAGTTTAATAAGCAATTTCTGCGTATCTTCTCATTTGGCTGTTTAAAGCATTAGGAGTGATGAGATCTCTGAAGAATAGGCCCATGCAATTGTCAGAGCTAAAGATAGTGACAGCTAAAGGTCGCTAAGCCTGGGAGTGTCTGAAGCAAAACACTTGCAAGAGCTTAGTTTGGAGTGAATCTGCGCTTTGGGGATCAGCTGAGGAACCATAAAAAGCTGTAAGGGGACAGAAGAGAAGTAGGGAGTTAAAGGCTAAAATGGGTGGGAACCTCAATTCTTGCTGACAAATTATTTAGCTTGTGAAAACATTTTAGAAAAGACGTTTATTTTTTCCAGTGAGGAGAAATGAATCCAGTGCCCTATTCTGGAAACATACAGTGCCTTCATCAAAAGTTATCTTGCTGTGCTTATTGTCATCAGCATATAAAAATGTGTACATAAATACATCATAATATTCCAGTTTTATTACAATGTCCCTCCCAAGTAAGTGAAATATCAGTCGAATTTAAACATTGATTTTAATCAATAAAAATAAATCAAAGTCCCCAACACACGTTTTCTCCCCCCACTATGTATATCAAGGAAACATTCCTTAACTTAAAACCCAAGGAACACCAAGAGATAATTTATAGGGAAAGTAGGAAGAATCTAATCTTTACATTCCACTGGCATATCATGCACACAGCTGTAAGGAGAAACTCTTGAGAAAGCAAAGTGGAATCTGCCTCCGGCATCTAAGAGTCAATTTTTAGAAACAATTAAATGAAAAAGAGACAGAGAAGGCAGATGAGAGCACATCGCAGTATCACTTGGTTTTCCCTTGGCTTCCGTGTTAAATGTTAGAATCTACTTACATTCCTCCTCATCTCTTCTAGAAAAAAATTTTTTTTGGGGGGGGTGTTTCACACCTCTGGGCTTTATGCAGCCGGGGCTTCTTTGACTTACCTATTCTGCAGGAGGTTTGGATTTTGATTTTTAATTTTTTTGTTTCTCAGCACTGACTATGGACAAGAAGTAAAAAAAAAAAAAAAAAAAACAGCAACAAAAACAAAGCTTGAGTTTACAGTTTCTCTCTCATCCAGTTTAGTCTTGCTGAAACCGAAGCTAGGGGGCTAGAGAAGAGGGGAGGAGGCCCTAGCCCAAAAAAAAAAAAAAAAAAAAAAAAAAAAAAATTAAAAAGCTAGCTTGAGACGTGCAGCGTGCAGAGAATGCAAGGGTCTCTTCAATGGGCTTCTTTAGGATGCAGGACTGCCGCTTGGCACTCTCAGTAGAGGAGGGAGGAGATGGGGCTGCAGCAGGCTTCCAGCTAGGCTGCTGCTGGGCGCGCCGCCTCTGTGGCTGCTCTCCCGGGTTACCCAACACCGTGGGCCCCAGGGGTGGGGGGAGGTGGGGAGGAAGGCAAAGGGGAAGGCCGGCTCAATCACAAGTCACAGTACAGGATGCAGGACTTGTTTGGCTTTGTGTTTTTTGTTTGATTTTTAATGTGTGCTGAAAACCGTCCAGCGTTTCTCGTCATGAAAATAGACTCCAAGAAGGGGAGCACGCTTAGCCTTGGGTGAGGAGCGAGCACCAAGAAGCCCTGACTACAATTGCATGTGGTGTGTGTGTGTGTGTGTGTGTGTGTGTGTGTGTGTGTGTGTGTTGTGCTCGTGAGCGCGCATATGCGTGTGCGCGCAGGAGCATGAAGGGGAGCCAAAAGAAGTAAAACATTCAAGAGGATAAATGTTCAAAAAAAATAAAGCAAAATCGAGAAAGAGGAGGAGAACTCCTGAGGGAAACATTCCTTTGGAAGAAAGACCTGGGGCAGAGGTTGAGAGGAGTACCCGCCCCTGGACCTTTGCTTTCTAGTTCTCATCTCACGTGCAAAGGCTTTGGAAAGTGAAACTGTCTTTGGAATGGTCCTTTCTTTTTCACAGACTTCCCTTCAGAGGCTGTGAGGAGCTACAGACCCACATCCCGCAGGTGGAGGAGCTGAGTCTGGCTGTCCCTGGCTGGGTGTCCCAAATAAGAGCTCAACCCTCAACCATCCTCAGATACTTGGACTGACTTTCTCCTGCATTTTGCTTCGATCCCTTTGCACCAGAATCATTTTGTTGCTGCCCAAAGCCTTAGATTTCTTTTGAATCCAATTGCCATGCATTTCCTTCCAACTTTCTGCTTTTCCTTCCTTCCTTCCTTCCTTCCTCCCTCCCTTCCTTCCTTCCTTCCTTCCTTCCTTCCTTCCTTCCTTCCTCCCTTCCTCTCTTCCTTCCTTCCATCCTTCCTTCATTCTTTCATTCCTTCCCAGCTTCTCTCTCTCTGGCTCCCTCCCTCCCTTCCTCCCTCCTTCCCTCCCTCCCCCTCTCCCTTTCTCCCTTCATCCTTCCCTTTCTCACCACCCTCCCCTGCACTGGTAGGGAATGAAGAACCTTGAATAGCAATGGGACAATTCACACTCTTCCTCTGGAAGACTTCAAGGGAGGGAGATTTTTGGAATTGGTTTTCCCCTCCTTTAGTTCCTCATGCTGCAATCTCCCCTTCCTCCTCTTTCTTCGTCTCCTGCTTTCCTTCTCTCTCCTTTCTAGTGTTCCCCAAAGGGAATAATAATGAGTATCCAGACAAACGAAGATTTGACAGGGTAAAAGCAACCAGTTCTCTCTCTCTCTCTTGCTCTCTCCCACAGCCTCCCTCTAAAAGGAGTTTTCAAAGGCCCTATATGTTAGGAGGAAGCACAACTTGGTAGTGAATCTGGAGAGTGTCAAGCAAGCAGCAAGGGGATCTGTTAATCAGGAAGTGTGTTGTGTGCAAGAACCCCTCCCCCCATTCTGTCACCAACTCATAGGGGGCCGGGGTTTTCTGACCACTAGATAAATGAACTTCATTGCCAGGGCCTCAAAGTTGGTGGGTAGAGAAGATGGATTTCCCCTAAGGCATCTTACAAAATCAAGTTGTAAATGAAGAAGAAGAAGAAGAAGGAGAAGGAGAAGGAGAAGGAGAAGGAGAAGGAGAAGGAGAAGGAGAAGGAGAAGGAGAAGGAGAAGGAGGAGAAGGAAGAGAAGGAGGAGGAGGAGGAGGAGGAGGAGGAGGAGGAGGAGGAGGAGGAGAAGAAGAAGAAGAAGAAGAAGAAGAAGAAGAAGAAGAAGAAGAAGAAGAAGAAGAAGAAGAGCAGGGGATAGGTATGAATTTCTTATCGATCTAAAATCTATTTCATTTGGTTCACCAAAGTGTCCTTAAAAGTCAGTCCAAGATCTAGATGATAGCTTGCATTAAAAAATATCCACGCTGCTGTCCATTGCCCCACAGTAGCTGAGATTGGAAACAGCCACCAGACTCTGTAAGCAGGCTGAAAGACTCTTTAAAAACCCTGCACCCTTCACATCCCAGACCCACCCTTTTCTCAGAGAGGTCCCCATCTGGAAATAAGCCTACATAGAAAGCCTAAGCTCAGGATAGGGCAGTTCCACCTCCCTCCTCAGCAACCCCAGCCTGCAAAGGCAGCAGCTCTTCCAGGGATCCTGTGGGAATCCAGGCTCTACTGGAATGAAAGGGTACTCAGGAGGCTGTCCTGGGCTTCCCAACCATGGTAAATGGCCTCTGCGACCATATCCCAGTGGTCTCTGAAACTACAGTCCTAAGTGCTGGACTTTGGCCACGTCCTAAAGGCCCTTCCACAAGCTCCCTTTCCTCTGTTTTAGCATTGCATGTCTAAAGGATGTGAAGAGCTCTGAAAGTTAGGGGATGCTGGGCCCTTGGGCTGCTTTCTTCTGCGTCCTGCTGGGAGCGCCGGCACCATTTATTTGTGCAGAGAAGGACAGGAAGACAAGAAGCTCTTTCTACCCAGCGAGCCCCTTTCCCACCCCCCCGTCAGTACTCCCCCTTCATTCCAGATCTAAGATTAAATATTCCAATATGGAAGCGAAACGATCTCCCTGGAACAAATAATTAAAATGCTGCATCATTCATTTTCTGAAGAGCTATGAGCCTTCTATAGAGCTTGTTCTAAACCGCTGCCGGCAGGCGAGGCACACAACGCATATATATATATATATATATATATATATATATATCCGTTTTCCTTCTGTCTCTTAAAATACAATCCAGCGCTTCACGGGGGGGGGGGGGGGGGGGTTCTCCCCTTGGCCACCTGGCCTATATGTTGGAGTTAAGATTTCTTTCCCCTGAAGAAGGGGGTCTGAGGTTATATTAGTCTCCAGAAGCCCTTCCTTCACCAATGCCCTTACATCTAACAGATCCAATTCTTTAAAATAATAATAATAAAAATCCTAGCACCTGTGAGGGTATGAAAGATCCAGCGGCCAAAGTCTACGCGTTCTACAGCACACATCCTACATAAGAGACAGACTGATTTCAATCAGGCAAAGTAGGAACTGATGGCGACGAGTACCTATGGTGCAGAGCGCTCAGGATCTCCGAGGTTCGCTCCGAGGGGCTTCCCAGCGGGAGGGGCAAACTCTCCGCGAGGCTGCATTGTATCCGTCATTCTGTCGCCCAGGATCTTCCCCTTTTCCGGCCACCAACTTTCGGAAAGGCTACCAAATCACGCTTGTAATCCTTTTAGAGTGGTCCACCTTTGAGATTTAGAGGGAAATGGTCGCTGCATAGTGATGGGAGAGCGGGGCGCGCACCTAGCGCGGTGATGCTGGCGACCGTGGACTCAGGACCATAGCTCTCAGTCCTTGCCCCAGATGGCAGGCAGGCTGTGTGAGCGTCCCAGGACCGGGATCGCCTGATCGAAAATCTTGGTGCTCTTCCTTCAGTGGCGAGCTCCCCGGTTCCCGAGAGCACCGGTTCCTTTCTGGATTTCTCTCTTGCTCTGTATCTCGTTGAAAGATTGTCTCTCACAGCGCAATCCCTGCCTGCGGCCTCGGTCTCCTAGAGGAGATACAGCTAGCCCTTGCCTTTTCCGAGTGTCTTTGCTCTTTGCCCTTTGGATGGGTGGGAGTGGGGGTGGGTGGCGTGGAGATGAGAGAAGACAGGGTGGGGAGAGACGGAAAAGAGGCAGGAAGGGGGCGACTAGATCTCAGATCCCAGCATTGGTCAGGTGGCGGGGTGGGGGGTGGGGGTGAGGACACAGATACAACAGTATGGCTGTACACACCACATTGCACTTGGCGTTGGGAAATCTCAGGCAGAACACGAAGGCGATGCGATCCCGTTGGCGGAGTGTGAGTCCCCTGACAGTCCACCATTCGAGTGCCCTCACTTCTCCAGCCGGAGGACAGGGGGGAGGTGGGCAGAGGAAGGGGGGCCGAGCGTTTCAGGCCAAGGAGACGCTCCCGGTGGCGGCGGTGGCGGCGACCGCATCTTTTTAAGACTGACCTGCTTTAAAAGTACCGCTTTGATGGCCTAGGAAATAACTAAAATCAGATTACACGTTACTTACCAAACGTCTGCCTCTAAACTGGGAGCGCCAGGTCGGGGACTAGGAGGCAATATAGAAAACGCAGGGCTGGAACCTGAATGCAAAGCCATCAGCCGCCCCCAAATCGCGCACCGAGGGAGCGGCGCTCGGGAGCCCCCAGATCAGCCCATCGCTGGAGCCTCAGCCAGCTTGTCCCCCCGCACCCCCGGCCCCTCCTCCGCGCCAACTGTGTAAATCAGCCGCCGCAGTCCTCTCGCCGCGCATCGCAGGCAAATCCCTGCTTAGGAAGCAAGTGATTCTCTCTCTCTCTCTCTCTCTCTCTCTCTCTCTCTCTCTCTCTCTCTCTCTCTCTCTCTCTCTCTCTCTCTCTCTCTCTCTCTCTCTCTCTCTCTCTCTCCTCTCTCTCTCTCTCTCTCCCTCCCTCGCTCCCCTCCCTCTCTTTTTCTCCCCCTCTCTCCCTCTCTCCTTTCTATTTATTGGTCACAATTTGCCAGCTTCACTAAGAGAGATCCTGTCAGGAAGTCAGCATTCTGTATCTGTAGATTGATTTTTAACTTTTGCAAATGAGAGATGGCTGTTTGGAAAATTACAGTCCAAACTGAAGGGGGTGGGGTGGGAGAGATGATCAAATTAAGAACATCTGAACTATATCGGGGGCGCGGGGCGGGGGGGGGGGGAGCGACATCGTTGAATGCCTACCAGGAGCCATTCCAAGTGGTTTGCAGAAATCGCCAATGGTCATGCAACAAAGGTGGCAATCTGAAAGTACACGTATTTCCTCATCTCTTTACACTTGCTAACGTGGGGGGTTGAGGGGGGCGGTGATGGAACTGTAGCATGGCTGGAGGGGGGTGGGGTGGGGATTTGAGAGAGAGCCGCCAGATACCAGTTCGTGACAAATGAGATGAGGACATCAGGGAGATGATTGCACACATGTGGAGCTGCTCCATGAGCCAGAAGACCACTGCCCCCACTGCAGTCTTGATAATGCAGTCCTTCACTGCTCCTCCATCCAATCTGCAGTGCAAACCAACGCAGTTCTTTTTAATAGATCCTTTTCATCAGCGGCTGTGTTGGAGAAAGGGCAGCATTCCCACTAACTCCCAAACTGGATAGGGTACACTCTGTGGGAGGCATCCCTGTACCTCTTACCATTCCTTCCAGATGTGAAAACATTGACTTGCCCAAGACAAGTGAAATGATGTATGTAATATCATCGTAAGCATAAAATGAACTTGACCCTAATTTCAGAAGTTTTCAAAGGAACTCCAGTCTACCTCTTGCAAAGAAGCTAAGCATTCTTTTAAGTTACACATGACAACCTATAGGAGACAGGCATGGAGATATTTCACCCCTTGTAGGGTTTTGTCCATTTGCTTTATAGGCATAAATACTCATGATCTAGTGCCATATTACTATCATTAAAAAGGAGAGAACAGAGTTGGTCAATCCCCCAAAGAAGGCCTTGTTCAGCTTTACAGAACACATGGGCATACAAACAGAGTTGATTCAGTATGGTAACCATGCAGGCATTCTGCAAGGTAGGAGTTTAGAATGTCATACTTAAAATGTTTCAGCTTGTTCTTCAAAATACTCAGTGTCCTTTAAGATTATTAATAACGTATCTACAATGACCCAGAACATGACCAAAGCATTGTGACATCAAGGCTGTTCTTTTTAAATATAGTGTTTCAGTTTTATGGAACAAAATCCAAAGACTTTTATCAGTGTTTTCTAGGTTAATACTACCTTCCTTGTGAGTTTTCTGTGTGTAAAGACTTGGGTATGGAAGGGACATTTGTCACAGAAGTTTCCCTAATGAGATTTCCGAATTGGGTTTCAAAGAGCTTTGTATAGGAAGGGCTGCCAACAGACTGTATCCATGTTTAAAAAAAAAAAAAAAAAAAGCAGAAAACCAAACTGCAATAGTAGGATGATGAGTTGAGATGCTTCAGGCCTTGTGGTGTGGTTGCACAACTCCTGGGGCTGCCATATTCCACATAGGCAAGTGAGAAATCAACACATGCCTCCTGCCTCTGGGCCGGGGAATATAACCCTGAAAGAATCTTACCTCATCATCCCTAAAGGAGATGACTCTCTTTGACTTTTGGATCTACTTTCCCTTTATTTGATTTTCATGGTTATTTTTGATGAGAAAACTCCAAATATACCCACATATTTATTATTCCTAAGGAGTAATGTAAAGTCGAGTTGATAGAACAGGCTGTTAGTATTAAAAGTGGACTCTATCAGCACAGACATTTCAGGCCAGTTTAAAAAAAATGTGTGGAGTAAAATGCCTTTGGTGTGGTGGCATTGTGTTCCCCAAAATATTGTGCACCCTAATGAATTTATCTAGGGTAAGAGAACAGACAGCCACTAGATATAGAGGCTAGAAAATGGTGGCACTCACGCCTTTAATCCTAGCATTCCAGAGACAGAAATCCCTCTGTATCTCTGTGAGTTCAAGGCCACATTGGAAACAGCCAGGCATGGTGACACAAGCCTTTAATCCCAGGGAGTGGTGGTAGAAGGCAGAAAGATATATAAGGCATGAGGACCAGAAACTAGAAGCTTTCAGCTGGTTAAGCTTTAGGCTTTCAAGCAGCAGCTCAGCTGAGAGCCATTGGGATGAAGACACAGAGGCTTCCAGTCTGAGGAAACAAGATTAGCTGAGAAGTTGGCCAGGTAAGGTTAGCTGTGGCTTATTCTGTCTCTCTGATCTTCCAGAGTTTACCCCAATAACTGGCTTCAGGTTTGATTTTATTAATAAGAACTTTTAAGATTCATGCTACACTTTGGTGTGTCTTTGCTCTGTGTTATGACTTTTAGTGTTAACTACAAAGGGATCTGCTGTTATACTTTTACTTAATGAAACATTCACACTGTGAAAAGTAGGAATTCCACTTTAAAAAAAGAAAATAAGATGCTTTTTACTGATGATGCAATAGTGAGTAAAAGTAGAACATAAAAACCAATATGTAAGATGCAATTTTCAGACCAGCCAAAAAGCCATATAATGCTAGCTATCATAAATTTTAAGACATAAAGAAAATACATTTTTCAAATAATTCTCTTTTAATTATTCTGTCATCTTCAAGGAGAAAACAATGGAATTAAGATGAATAATGTTGACAGAGTTTTCTTGGCTAATTATATATTACTCAGTCAGATGGTTAAAAGTAAACAAATATTTTGAAATGTGTAACATGGAATGAAGTAGTATGAGAATGGTTTACCATGCAATGGGATATTCGCTCCTAAATCCTTGTACCCTACATGCAAACATATTTGAAAAGTGGCAGCATACCCTGATTATATACATGCTGTGCTCATCTGTTTCAAGCTATTGTGCAACAATCCTAAAGCCCACAACTTGTCTTTATTTGTGCGTCCTAATGAATTTTGCACACTACATGAGCAAAGAGCTAACTGCAACTTTATTTGAGCTACCACCAGTGAAACAATTGAAAATAGTTACAAACGATGTTGTAAATGAGAATATAACCTCAAAAAATTTAGCAAATATGAATGTGAGAAACAGAAATTGGTGGTTTTATTGTGGGTTTTTTTTGTGTGTGGGGAATATAAATATTAATACAGGAATTTGAGGTATTGAACAGTTGAGACTGAGGGTGCAATACTTGTACAAGTGTTTAGTTGTGCAGATCTTCTACACCTTCACAGATGAACACTTTGAACTGTTTTTAAAGATTCAAAAGGAGTTCACACCCCTTTTCCTCAAAAGTGCTTCAAGAAAACCTAGTGAGCATTTAGTAGAAGTGTGTGTTTGTTAGCTTTATTCCAAATTTAATGGATTAGTCTAAATATGAAGAAAGTGTTAGATGATAATTCAGTTACTCATTCATTTACATTGTTTCACTAAAGAATCTCAGAACACTTTTGAGGCTTCAACAAAATGAGACCTCAGATTTTTTTTTTTTAAGTAAAAAAGTGTTTGAATCTGAATGGTTAGTAGAACACTTTTAAGACAATCAAGGATTATCTGTTCCTGTGACCAGTGTTTCTGAATGTTTGTTTAAAGAATGGGTTAAACATAGTTGATTCCTACATAAATTTTCAAGGGGCTGGCCTAAATTATTTGGCACTAATAAATTGTAGATGCTAAATTAAATTACAAAGACAAAGGTCTTTGAAGTTCGAGACAAGGTGAGATCAATGAAATACACTCTTTGAAATAATTTGACAATTGAATAATACAATAGGAAATAAAAATAAGTGTGACATATATTGGAAAAAGGTAAATCACATGAATTTTACTAGTAAAGGAAGATTTTAAATGTGCTACTAATATGAGAGAAGGAAATAGGAATTTTTACAAATGCATTTACATTATTTCTTTAGCATTCATGTGTAGGTATGTGAATGTATATGTCTGTCTCTCTTTCTCTGTCTGTGAGGGTGTGTGCATAAGGGTGTGTGTGTGTGTGTGTGTGTGTGTGTGTGTGTGTGTGTGTGCATGCACATATCACAGTACACTTGTGAATGTTAAATGTCAACTTCAAGGAGTTAGTGCTCTCCTAACCATGTGTATTCTGAGGATGAAACTTACATCATCAAAAAAGCTTGGTAGCAAGTAACCTTACTGCTGAGCTATCTTACCAGCCCCTGATAATGATTTTGTAGAATCGCAGAATCATCTTAATGGGACTTGAAAGACAGACCTAGAATAGTGGTTTTCAACCTGTGGATTACTACCCTTTTGTGGGTCACATATCAGGTATCCTTCAAAGCAGATATTTACATTATGATTCATAACAGTAGCAAAATCAGAGCCACAAAATAATTTTATAGTTGGGCTAACCATAACATGAGGAACTGTATTAAAGTGTGCAGCATAAGAAAGGCTGAGAATCACTGACCTATCATGATCAATTATGTAATACTGGAATCTGTACTTTACTATCTGAAGTCAAGTTATTATCAAGACAGTGCTTAAATATTGCCAATGGAGCAGAGCTTGGTGCTTTTCAGGACAGCTCACTTTAAGA